CAGATACTGCCACATTAAAAGCCCCATGAAGCAGCTGTTTCTTAGGCGGGAAATGTGTTATTTCTCTTTCCTCTGCATTATGCTGCCTGTCTCCACCTCCCATGCAGTGAAGAGGAGAGGAAAATCCAAACATGTAAAACACCACTCATCAGCACGCTCACAGAGAAAGAATGCCCATGGAAGGGCACTGCCTGCATCGTTCTTCTTATGCCCAGCCAGGCTCCAATTACTACCATTCACCGTGGCATCCTGCAGACAGAGGGACTCAAGTGTAAAAGCGTTCATGGGTCTTCACAAAAATTCACCATCAAAATAGTAACATTTGGCACTCATCTCAGCAGGAGCAAGGCTGACTAGCTCTTGTGTCCCTCTGACATCTCTGTGTTGCAGTATTTAGCTGTCACTCTGCTAATGTCTTCATTTCTGCAGGCATACAGGTGATATAAAATTTATCTCCTGCTGTTCTCCATTCCTACGTAGTTGCACACCATGCCAGTACATTACCACTTTAAACAGCTGAAAAATGTGCATGTGAGAAAGGTTGTGCTTCAGGATTTTTTTGAGCCAGATTTTGTAACACCTGCTTGGGACTGAGAAATTTTTCTCCTCTACACACAAAGACTACAGACTCCTTTCTAAGACAGAAGGATTTGCCTCTTGTCAGATGTCCTTTTTATTTTCCCCTCACCCCTTGAGAGCCTGTTGTCAATGGAAAGGTGAAAAAAGTACGTTATACCACAGAGGTAAGTAAAAAGTGCTACCTGCTTTGCGGTGAGAGTCACAGTAGGGCACATATGAGCTTAAAAGTTTAGGCATTCATATGAAAGCAGAAAAGTTCCAGTCTAACTTTTGCAGGACTATTTTTTGCTTATGTTAAATCTGAAAATAGGAAATAAACTTCAGCTCTGAAATTTCTTCTTTGTATCTATCTATCCCAACCAAAATCCTACAGCACCATGCTTTCTTCCAGCACTTTTCTTCCCCTTGCCCCCAGGGGCTGCTCTCCTGGCTGCACAATGCTTCAAGTTTAGCAAAGGAGTCAAAACTGCAACCATGTGTTTTAACCTGCAGCTCAACGGTCAGGAGAGCCTCTCAGACAATATTTGAGTTACTTACAAAGAGAACACTACAGACCTAAGTGTCCCACTTCTTAGATAGGCTAGTGAGCACTTCCATAAAAAAGTGAACTCTGGCAGCTTTCCTTCCAGCTGTTTTTAAAACAATGGAATGAAAAAATCCCACAATTACAACATCAATAATAGCAGTCTCCCAGGAATTACAACATGCCCGAAAATGCAAAGAGCCTGACCTGAGTAACCTTTGTGCAAACTACATCCATGTCTGCATCTCCCCTGACACAGAAGAGCTCGGTGGCTCACCTCTCCTCAGGCCACCTCTCATACAAAAATCAGACAATATTTTCTTAAAGCCTCCTCTCTCTTCCAAAAATCAAATGCGATATTGTTTTACTCAGACCTCATTGTGGTCAAATCCATTTGCTACATATCAGGTCTTTAAATAGACTTTTACTGAACCAGTAAGTTTTGACCAGTTCATTTTTTGAATGATACATTAAGCAGCATCAAACAACAGAAGTCACAGCTTTCAGTTCCTGTCTGCTTTTAGAGCAATCTTTTAATATAATTCTGATTTCTAGCATATAACCAGGCCTTAGTCTATAACAAGTCTTCAGTGCTTACGCTTGCAGTTATTAATTTCCTTTTTTCTTGTTTCACAGATTTTTACCTATTGCGCTTTTTGAGAAGACAAACTAATTCGCTAAATCATTCCTATTTATCTCTTTATTGTGGAATATTATTAGAATATTCCAATGTTCTTAATATTATTAAAACAAGCATAACTTCTCCCAAATAGAAGTTTCACATCTGTGTCCCTCTAGGTCTAATTATGACCAAATAGTGCAACAACAATAGAATTCAGCTGGCTATAGTGCATTTCACAACATTGCTGCCAAGGTTAAAACCAGCCAGCCAGCACCTAGACTAGTTCCCTTCTGTAGAGAACTCTGTGAATATAAAACACACATTCTTCCCCCAAAGTCAAAAGATAAATGACCCCCTCCCTCCAACTCCCACCCCCTCCAACTTAGGCAAACACTGGTTTAGATGAATTCTACAATTGATGGCTGCAAGAGCTGAACAATTTTATAGCCAGACCACCCAGCTTAAAGACAAACCTCACTATGGCATTTCCTGCTCTTTTCCTTTCCATGATCCATTACTTTAAACACCAAATAAAATATGGGAGGTGCAAGTGAGAAGATCAATGCTCTCCTCTTGCTTAAAAATTTCTTCTCCTTGACTCTGTTCTTATTCCCCAGAATCCTCCTACATTTGCTAAATCCTGATAGCATCTGTAGTTTGAAGACTGTGAGCAACCAGTTTCTGTTATGCCTTTGAACATGCACACGGATGCACACGATGATGATGAGCAAGTTGAGAGATGCTATCAGTTGTAAACAGGTTTCTCAACCACAAATAGCGCAAGACTCTGAGGGCCAGGGATGACTGTTTGTAAGACAATCCCAGTAGCTTTGTCCTCGTTCAATAACCAGCTGTAGGAGAAAGTTCTAAGGAAGGAGAAAGCAAGTCTGCAGGTGTTCACAGCATTTGCAGTGGAGCTGGAAGGGTGGCAAACCAGTGGTGAGAAACTATCAACCTGATGCAGAATGAAGCGGTTATTGCTGCTGGAACAGGGAGGCCAATAGGCAATGGGTATCATCATGCTCATAGCTGTGAGGAATAAGGGCACACTATTTCTCTCAACTTCAGATCATTTGTGCTCCTAACACTGTCAGACATCTCTAAATACTACTTTTCAGTCCGCCTTCAGATTTTGTAAAACACAGTCCACAAATCAAACTCCACAAACAGATGCAGTAAATTCATGGCAAATGATGCTTGTGATTTTGCACTATTATCATTATAAGCATAATGAGACAGTGCCTTGATATTACCACACAATCTGGAGTTGCTGAGCAACCAGTTTCCATTATGCCTTTAAACACCCACCAGTTATGAGCAACTACAGGCCAGTAAGCAGGGTTCAGAGTTGCAAGATGCATCAAGCTGCGGGGATGATCAAGCCTCCACAGCAGCTACTGCATCTATCTACAGCAGAAAATGGGGAAAAAAAATAATGCAGTAATGACTGGAGTTCTCCAAGATGCAGAGTCTACTTTCTCTATGCTTGAACACGTGCCTTCAACACAGGCCCAGAGTTCTGCAGCTCCTGTAATGCCTTTCCTCATGCCTTGCAGCCAGGGCTCGAGACTCATTACCAGAAATCAGTCCCTTGTATTTGCAGAGCCCAAGTAGGTGAGGTGCTTAGATGATAGGTTGCAGGCTTAGCACAGAGACATGGCATCTCAGACTCTAACTTGTGCGTTTCTTACAAGGTTTGTCCACACCCAAGTCCTCTGTGACAGCATCCCAGTGAGAAAGAGGTAGGCAGAGGGAGCAGCTTGACATTATCAGGATGAGAAAGATGCCCAGGCTGCAAAGCTGTCTACTGCCACTGGCTGCAATGCTTGACAGCTTTCAGGGTATGTTCCCCACCGCATTCCTTATCTCTGTCTACTCAGAATCAGCAATTATGGATACTCATCTAGCCCAGCATAACTCCTGAACATCAATGAAGAAAACTAAGCCTTGAAAAAAATACATACTTGTGTCAGTCCAAGTCTGGATCTCAGACACTGAAGATAACTTTGTTGACATACAAAATCCTTTTCAGGAAAATGTTAACGTTACACTAACCTGCAAAGGAAGCTGTAGCTTGACTCCTCCAAACACTGGAGCTCAGCTTGTGGTACTCTACCTCTGACCACCCTCCTCTCATACCAGCTCAAATGATGACATCCCAGAAAAGTAATCCTACGTAACAGCAATTAATGTGCTTGTATTTTCTTCTGGCTTTTTTGTTTCTGTTATGTAGGCCAATATATTCTAAGTAAAAACATTTAACTCACAGGAAAAGTTCACATTGTGTGTCATGGCTTAAAAAAACCCGAACTTATTAAAGAGCAGTAACTTAGAGCCATGCTTACAGCCATTTTTTTGAAAAATTGAAAAGAATCCTGTTTTGGTTGAGTACTGACTAAGAAGCTGGGGAAAGTGTCTGCCACTGCTCAGACTGCAAGTTTTCTGCAATATTTCTGGAAAACTTAAGAGTTTTCAATTTGCTCTTCTGCTATTTATGCTTATGTTTTGGGCATATTCCACTAGGCTAACTATTAGTAAAGCATAAACATCTATCTTGGTGTTAAATTGCTATGGTAAATATTAAGAAGTTTCCAGTACACCCACAGAAGAAAGTCTGCTTCAGTGTGGACTGGTACAACCTCAATTGCCAAAGGTCACACATGAGTGCATACATAAAATCACACACACACAGAAACAACAAAAGAGTGAGAATGAACTTCTAAGAAGTAGTTTGAGAAAAAAACAACTGAAATGACCAATCATTAATTCAAAATACAGACAGTTTTCATTAGCACAACTTCTAACGTGATACTTTCCCATGTATTCTACCATTCGTCAAGTCTTCCAGATCTTCTCATTCAAACATATACCTAATACCATTAATTTGTTACAGAATTTTAAAAATCATTTCAGAAGTGCAGCATATGTATGTCTTCTAATTTTTTTATACCATACATATCTCATTCTAAACTTAGAGCCTTCCGTAGTTGTCATTAAAAAGCACATAGACAAAATATTTTATGGTATCTATAATAAATGCAAATAAATCAATACAAACAAAACTTGGCTTAGCAAACTGTACATACATAAATATGTTCTCTGTTTTTCAACTTGACATTCAACATTTTTCCTCATAAAATCTTTTACGATCTTATTTATTACATCCTTTTTTTTTTAACCTTAAAAAAGTGCTTCTCAGATTTACACCTTGTGCATCCAAAGCAAAAGTTAGAACATCATGCCCAAAACAGAAACCATGGGGAATAATACATTACCATACCAGATCCTTTAGAATTGTATGTTACAAATGCTCTACAATTTCTTTAGTATTGGTTATTTCATATACTGTAGATACTGAGAGGCTGTTAACAAAGACTGGCTAATGGCTCATTTAGAGCAGCACACAGGAAAAGGATCTACAGTATCAAGTCCTTGGCTATGCATAGTACAAGGCGATGACCTGGATATAAAGTGGCTAAAAGATCCAGAATGCTGGACAGAAGGACATTTCCCTCACACACATCACATCCCCCTTAGTAGCCAGGATGTGAGTACTGAAACGATGCTACTCAGGGTAATACGCTGTGCAGCTGGACACTGATATACTGATCGTCACTAGATGAGTGCCCGCAGAGAACGACAGGGACACAGCAGTGGCTACAGCAGGTAGGAAAAGCTGCCACACTGAATCCTGTCACCCTTCAAAACCATCCTGCCTCCTAGCTAGCACTCCAGCAAGGTTACCTGCCATCTCACAGGTCTCCTTCATAAGGGAGGTGGACCATTCATGTATTTTAGCATGGGGTGGAATGAGCGGGCAAAGTTGTTGGCCATAGTACAGCTGTAGTCCTCCTCGGTCATTGGCACCAGGCAAGCCAGCCCGATCAGGAGCAGCAAGAGGAGCTGAAGTGGCAGAGCGGCTCTGAGGACTCTGAGGAAGAAGGACGGGTGCTGCCAGGCCGGCCCGGCCTCAGAATGGGAGGAACCTGAGCCACCTCTTGTGGACCTGAGAAAAGAGGACGGACAGGTGAATACGCTAAAACACTACTGCAGCAGAGGATCCCTCAGGCACTGAGCCTTCCCTGACGGCCGGTTTACAATTTGTACAGACTTCAATTGACAACTGCAGACGTATTTTTCACTGAACATGCTATTTCCCTAACGGTCTTAAGAGACCTCATATTTCTAGACTGGGTAGGAAAACACCAAATGATCACAAGAGAATGGGCTTTGTGACCCCACAGCCCTTTCGTCAATTATGAGGAAGACTCTCCACTTAAAGCACTGTGCTCCAGAGAAAAGGAAAATAAAAGGTGGGCCATCCCTGTCACGTGTTCAATGCCACTGTCTAAAGAGGAAGTCTCCTCGTTTAAAACGGCAGTGGCATTTGGTCTGCAGTAGTTTCTACATTCATGTTTGTACATAGATTCTGCATTAAGATTCAGTTACATCAATCTTCAATTAATTAATACACCAATATGCAAGCAACAGAGACTCATTTTCTACAAAGTACATTGTATTTTGAATCTTGCACTGAATCAGCAGTTAAAATCTTCAAACAATTTGCTTCAAGAACTCTTCCATTAAGACATTTGGTCATGAATTTTGTCTTAGACATGTTGCTATAAAACATCCATGTGGCTGCTATGATGATGAAGCACCAGAATAGCTACGGTTTGCTAGGGTTTAAGAGACAAAAATGGTCATAAGGATGGATTTAGTCTCAACTTGAAGGTGTGGGAGGTCAGGCTTGTTGGCTGAGGTCAAATGCTCCCCAATAAAGCAAGTAGGAGGCAATGGTTCCTTAGTGTCTCCTTGCCTTCCCCTTTTCCTTTTGATCCTGTCTCCCAGATAAATCTGAATCTGTGTGAGAAAGCACGCAAAGACCAAAATATCATCTTCAAAACTCTCCCAGGCTTGGAAAGGGTCCCCTTCCCACATGTTCACAAAAGAATTCTTTCTATGCTTGAGATTATTTTTATTGTCTTGTTCATATATGTGTACCATCCCACTATGAAGACTTCAAGAAAGCCAGACAGATTTGGTAAAGTTTACATGACCAACAGATACGCAACCACTCAAGTACGCTAAATGATTAACTTGACCTAAATATCCCAAGAAGGAGCGATGATCAAAACATCAGATCGCATGGTGTTTGAATCCATGTTACTGTAGCCTGGATGGAAAGCTGCTTATCGCATAATGTAAGATCATGTATTATAAAGAACATATTTAAAGGATATGGCACATTTAACAGTATCAGAGCATTCCATATTAAAGTTCAATTAGATCGGGACTTCTACTGTCTGAGAATCCCAAGACAGAAAGTTAATGGACTGAGGTAGGAACAAAGGGAACAAGGAGTGCTGAATTACCTTGCAAGCATTTGATTGCAGAGTCTACCTATTTAACAAGGCTCTTGTTGCACAAATGTTGTTAATCCCAATCAAAAAAGGCCACATCTCTGCAGTTGGTAACTGCTGTTTGATAATGAGCAAAGTCTGAATTTTCTTAATTGACTCAAGAGTTACTCTGGGGCAACACTGGGTGTTGGAATGGGAATTTCCAAAAAGCAGAATCAAAAGGAAGGAGGCAAAATTAGCATCTGATTTTTTCCTTTTCTTTTCTTTTCCTACGGCTTTAGGAGCACAATCTAGCACTTTTTGCTTTGTGTTTTACCAAAAAAAGAAAAAGAGTGGTAATGTGTAAGCTGCATGGCTGATCTCAACAAGGAACATAAACTTTCTTTCAAAATTTAAAACAGTTCATAGCAAAGTTTTTCAAAACACTTTTTCTGCCATGAAGTAGGGTGTTGAACAATAGTTTCTAATTTTGCACGGAAACAATTAAACAAGCAAATAATGAAACATTACGAAAACCTCTTCGGAGGGGGAGTTCTAAAAAGTTTGAGTGCCATACTGCTTGTGTTTATTGCAGGTATGCCTCTGTAATCTACATAATTGTCTGAAAAAAAATTGGCTCAGCTTAGGGTGTTTAATAGATTTGGAAAGGAGAGATGGTTAAAAATATACATTGTTAATAAAAAAGGCTCACTATTCATAAGGACCAGAAGTCCTGTTTACTCCAACAGGAGAAGGGAAACCTGAAGTACTGTATGCCACTTCAGAGAAAAATGTAATTTCTTTTTCTTAGCTTGCGTCTTTAGCTGTCTCTCTTCTGACTGCTCCACCATTTGTCATGCTGGCCCTACTCTGAGGAGGGAAGGAAGTAAGGTCATCTGCTACTCACTCCATACACAATTCCTACTAACTAGATAAAAGGGGGAGGCACAGCTGCAGACTTGGCCAACAGTAAGCTTCTTCATGTCAAGAAATCTCATAAATTAACCTAAGAAGTGCAAGCAATGGTTACCTTACTTTGGGAGTTTGTAATGTCAGTGAAATTGGAACTCCTTCCCAAGCATTTCAAGAGAAGAGAAGCTAATTTACCAGGCTATAGATAGGATGGGCAAAGTGAACTTTAATTTCAGCTCAGACGAGTACATTCTTTTAAAGATGAGAGACATTTTTTTTCCCAAAGAAAATATGGTTGAAGTAATCTATCTGTATTGCAGTAAACATCTGAAAGATTCTATTAGAAGAATTTATCATTCAAGCAAAGCTGATAGGAATAAATGAAGTGAGTTTAATGGGGAAGTGACTAACGGAATGCAGACAACAGCCTTGCATTGAAAGAGGCACTGCTGGGCTATTAGGATGTTATTAGTGGAGCTAATCAAGGATGAGTCTTAATTTAATATCTTTATGAAAAAACTATGGTACAAAATGTAAGAACAGCAAATCTCATCTGTATGATGACAGAAGTCAGAAGTCTTTGCAAATACAAAATAGGATTGGCTTCTTGCACAGAAAAAAGTGGGTGAATCCAATAGGTTTAAGTAGTAGCTCAAGGAGTTTGAAATTATAGTACATAAAGTAGCAATAAAAAACTTCTGCTATAAATTTGGAAGTTCACACTCTGAAGATAAGAGAATCTAGAGTTGTTTGACACAGGATAGCCACAAACCAATAATGTGGCTTGCGAATAGCTATGAAAAGAGACAAAAGAAATATTTCAGTTCAAGATTTCCAGAAGAGAACAGGGGTTGTTTTAATGATGTTCTATAAGGCACTAGTCAGATCTCACCTGGAGCAGTTTGTATCATTTTGGCTAACATACTTCTGAAAGATGAATTCAAACTTATACAAGCTTAAAGAAGTAAAGAAAAATGGTGTATTTCTCCTATGAAGGAAATAAAGAGCCAATAAAAATATATACACCAATATAAAATTTGACAGATACTAAAAATACCCTTTACAAAATAGTGCAGAACAGACAGAAAGCAGGGTGAACAATTGTTGAAGTAAAGCAAGGGATAATGTTGGAACAAAACCAAATTACTACCCACCTGACCATGGTTATATTCAAGCTGTACTTCCAGATAATCAGAGAAATTAAATTTGATAACAACCTTCTAAAAGACTTTTTGGTCCCACTGATTCTAACTTTTTAACATGGAGATTGCTAGAGTTACGAAGGAGAAGGTACAATGCTCTGCCCACAACAGCAGGCAACAACTCCTCTTGGTGGCCTCAGGGACTCTCTAGGAGCGACCTTGTTTGGCTGCGGTCTGACTACGATTCTCTCCCTAGCTCTCAGCATCACATCACCCCAACCTCAGATTTGGCTGACCCTGTAAAGAAGATGACTATGTCCATTTCAAAGGCAGTTAAATATGAACTTCAAGTAACAAGCTCTAAGTGAAAGCGTGGGAGATAATTGGGAGAATACCATGGCAAGGCAAGCCCAAACCTCTTGTTAGAGCTATTGCGTGGCAATGGCTGCCATTTTGTGGCCAGAGGCACAGAGTGTGCTGTGGCCTGGTCTGCTCCAGCAACAGCAAGTGACCTTTAGAGATCCACAAGTGATTTGGGGAGACCTGAGGAGAGCAGGAAATGGAGGTTGGCACTGTGGCACCAAGACTTGAATAGAGCTGCTCACGAGGGACAATGTAAACACCCCTGAGCAAACTGAACCACTATTTTAATATTTTTAACATTTTAATCACTTCAGAAAAATCCACAGGCACATATCCAGGTGTGCATTTATGACAGCTCTATTAAACTGATGAAGAAAGAGAAGTTGCTGCTTGGATTTGCTTTTCCCACTTAGCACATGATTGCTAATACCTCTTGAATGAGCATCACACTATGTATGCTTGTCTTTTTGCTGTGATAATGGGGAAGGCAAAGTGGTATCACACTTGTTATACACAAAACATGGCCTCTCTCATTTTTAGATGAACCTCCCTTCACAACCTCCCATGTGATAAACCTTCTAAAATTGGCTTTAGTTCTCCTGTATACTAAACTCTAACAGGGTTTGCTGATCCAGTGCAAGATCAAACACAAAGTACTCTGATCAGAGGCATGTCAAAATATTAAAGAACACAGTGACAGCTTGTACCGCTTTATCAGTTAAGACCACATTATACATCAGGCACAACCTGTCTGGCTTGCGCATTTGATTAAGTTTCCTATTGAGCAATGACTCATTTGTATTCCATGCTTGTCTGGATGACAAATTGAACATTGTGTTGTACTGCTACAAGATGTGTTAATAAACAGTGCTGGAAAGACTTGATCTGAAGGGTGCCGCACCAATGCCACTGCTAGAATAGAGATTGATCTCAAAGCTGCAAAGCACTGCTAGCTGCTCTTTGAGCCAGCGGCTTGCACCTACAACCAGAAACCTTCTCAAAAGGTTAGCAGAAGTGCTCTGACTATACAGGAGAGCAGAGGAGCACACACAGTATGTTTCCCGAGTACAATGTTGCTAGTGCAAGCGTGCTGATGTGCTGAAGACATCCTCCATTCCTCCTAGCTGTTAATGGCTGCAGAGTAAAGTGCCGCTCCTCCCTCTTCCCACTCCCTGTAAGAAACACAATGCCAAGCTTCACAGCAGACTGCAGTTTGGAAAAATTAATTCTCTTTCTCCATCAGACAGAAAGATGGAGTGTACATATGTCACCTATTTTCTATGTGGTTTCCTTATCTTTCAAAGAAAAAAAAAAATATCCCTAAAAATAAGGCAGCTTCTTTGTGCCAGCGGAAGCAGTGAAAAGTATCTATCCGTTCTATCTGCTGTGCTATGTGGTTTTGCAACTATGCCACTTTACTCACAGTCACTAACCACACATATAAAGCAAACCTTTTTGTTTTTAAGAAGTGTTTATGTTAATATCTACATGGTAACAAGTTTTATTCTTTATTTCATTTATATTTGAGAGTAATTTTGCTGAATAAAGCCTTGATTATGCTCGTTAAAGAAAAATAATACTCTGAAGGTATTTTTTGTCTGTTTGGTTATTGCTTAATCACTGTATTAAATCTACTGTTGCCTTCTTTCCAACATCAAATCTTTAACAGGAGTTATTTTGCAAATGAATTGGTTAATTTTTGATACAGAGAGAATAAATGAGATTTAGGACTTAATTACAAGAACAAATTCATTTTCATCACACTTTCTGACTATTTTAGGTATTGCAACGCATAAGATGCTGAAATAGCAAAAGACGTCTTTTGCCAACATACATATTGGCCCGAGCATTTACTTTTTTTTAAACTTTATAACTCTAGAGGCTAGTGAACTGATCAGTGAAAGAGTGAAGGTACACACACCACACTGACAACAACAACGCATGCAGAAGCACTGTTAGCTGCAGAGATGACAGGTTGCTGGAGACAAGGTGGAAAGCAAAAAGCTGTAGCTGCAAGCCTTCTCTCGACTGGTCAGGGAGAGACGGGGCAGGGCTGCTCCCAGAGCAACACATGGGTGCAAGCACCGGGCAAGAGTCACGGCAATGTTAGCACATTATATTGCACTTGTCTTAGGTGGGGAGAGAAAGTGACCCAAGTCTCAAAACCCTCAAATTCTGACTTTTAATTTTGAGCCTGAAGTACTGAAAACCCACAAACTGAACAAAACATTTCAAGAGGGGAAAAGAACAAAAGAAAGAAAGAAAAGGTTGTTAGTATGTCTCATCCAGATCTGTGGGTTTTGTGAATTCTGTAATATGGTATTGGCCTATTACCTGCCTTAATTTAATATCTAGAGGTAAAGAGGATGATAAAAAATGTTTGCCATGAACCTACTGGCATTTCTGTTAAATCATGCCAAAACAAAATCATCATTAAATATCATGAGTGTAAACACACACTCATCCTGATCAGGCATAGGAA